TATATTTACATATGTACATGCCTATATTTAGACATCTATAAATGCCCTTTGCCTCCTAGTTCTTACCTCTATTTCCTTTTACTTTCCTCGTGTCCCGCTATCTTAGACCTTTCATAATGTGCCTGGAGGATATATTTTAGTGGAGGTGGCCAACTCAATCCTGCTAATTTTTATAAAGTAAGTTTACTAGATATGAAATTCTAGATGGACAATTATTTTCTCTTCTCACACTGAAGATGCTGTTCTCCAGCTTCTGTTGCTGTAAAAAATTCAGCTATCCATTTTTATTACTTCATGGGTAATTATTTTTTTCTTTTGAGTGATTTTAAGATAACTCTCGCTTTGGAGTTTCTTTTTGTATCTGTTTTCAGGTGTGGATTTTGTTGACCTTTGTAGAACTGAGGCACAATTTGTATCTTAATTTGTCTTGTATTACTTCTGGAATATTCTCAGGTCTTTGTCTCTGAAGTCTTCAAAGATCTCGTACCTTCTCAGGAACTTATTTATCTTAACATTGCATAATCAGTCATTCATATTTTCTGTATTTTCCTCTGGGTAATTTTAGATCTGCATTCCATGAAATTACCTCTCCAGCCCTGTCTAATCTGTTGTTAAATCTGTCCTGATTTTAAAATTTCAGTTCTTACATATTTTATTTTTAGAAATCTGCTTCTTTTGGAAATCTCATGGATCATTTTGGGCTGCCTACTCAGTTTCGGTATCCCTAAGAGAACTGAACAGACTTGTTTGCCAATAGCGCTAGCCTGAAACCTGTGCTGGTCACATTCTGTCTCCGTCCAGATTCTGATTGTTGGTGCTTTGTTTCTTTGTGAGATTCGTCATTTTGGCTTTGCTACTTCTTGGTCCTTTATTTTGGGAGACTGTCGGAAGCCTGGGGGAGAGGGGGAATTTCTCCAGAAAACTTATATTTTTGTCTGCCAGGAACCCAGAGGACCTGCCAGCCCTGGTTATCACTCTAATCTAAACCCTCCGTTCACTGCCGACAGGGAATTCTCATCCCAGAAACATTCTCAAGGATACATGTTTTCCCTTTCTCCCTCCACCAGGCAGGCTTTTCCTATTGCCCTTTGGGCTGGAGGGAGTTTTGTGAAGGAGGTATTTGGATGTTTGCTTCCTCAAATCCAGCTTGCAGCCATTGGTGTCTTAGTCTCAGAGTCCCCATTTCAAACCATTCCTCCGCTTTTATCTTTTACCCTCCGGAGCCTGGAGTCAGTTCTGACACACAGCAACCCCCTAGGGCAGTATAGCTCCTTAGGATTTTCTAGACTGTCAACCTTCACAAAAGCAGACTGCCACAACTTTCTCCCAGGGAGGAGCTGGTGGGCTCGGACCAAGGACCTCAGTGTTAGCAACCCAGTGCTTGACCCACGGCACCACCAGGGTCCCATCCATACCCTCTGTACCTGTAAAAACTGAAGTTGCACCCCCCTGAGGTTCAGGTGGAGGTACAAGGCTGGCTTTCCTTCAGGTGGTCTTTCCTGAGGTTCAGGTGGTCTTTAGGTACAGGCTGGCTCTCCCGAGATTCAGGTGGCCTTTAGGTACAGGCTGGCTCTCCCGAGGTTCAGGTGGTCTTTAGGTACAGGCTGGCTCTCCCGAGGTTCAGGTGGTCTTTAGGTACAGGCTGGCT